CAGTGTGCTAGTAAATCTGAACAGGGGCTGCTTCCGGCCAGAATGAGCAGCGAACTGAGCCGGCTCGAGGGGCCAGTGCTGCCAACTGCCTTCCAGGTCCCTGGAGAAACCATGAGCTCAGCATGGGCCTCTGCCCTCATGCGGCCACGCAGCTACGACATCCATGTGCCCACGGGGCTGCTCTTGCATGCCTGTGTGCTAGTGACTGCCCTGGACAGAAGGGCACCCTCTGCCTCTTCCACAGGCCTTCCTCGCCTCATCCTGACCTCGACATCCCAGTCTCCCAAAGTTGTTTTCTTTCTGTTCTGGGGAATGAACCCGGACCCTCACACCAAACTACATCCCTGGCTCTTTTCTATATTAATCACAAGCCAGGGTCTTCCTAAGTTACTAAATTCCCCAGGCTGGGCCCAAACTTGCAACCCTTTGGCCTCAGCCTCCCAGAGTACTGGAATTACAAGCCAATCTTCTTTCAGGCTTCTGACCAGTAAGCAAGCCAGTCATTAACACCAGGAGGGCATGGACACCCTCATTTCAAGGCAAGTGGGTGGCCAGATGCCCTGCACGAGGTTCTGAGACAAGGACCTCCTGGGACCTTGGGAGCAGGTCCGCAACCCTGCACCTGCCCCATCCTTACTTGCACCCAGGTACTGTGCCAGCCCATCTTCCTCCTGCCTCAGGAGGCCACAAGGGACTTGCCCATGAGGAGGAGCCATGGCACAGTGGTGCCATGGGGCCTGGGCAGCCTGTCTGTGGAACCGTCTTATACCTCTGGCTCTGCTCGTGGTCCTGATGCAGTGTGACAAAGGCCACCCTTGGGCTCCCTTGACCCTATAGGGCTTGACAGACCTCCTGGCTACACAATGATGTGGGGTCCATGGCCACACCTCTGGGGACTGTTTTCCTCACTAACTGCAGTTCTCTGCAGGAGGGGTGGCCTTGTGCTGAGTCCTAGAGGTGCCCCGTGATTCTCCCATGGGGGCCCCATAAATTGTTCTCGGAGTCATCCCCATGCCCAACACAGTGCTAATGCTCCGAGGGGCCTGTCGGATGGCATAGCCCAGGCGCACCCCAGCCTGGCCACTGCCCAAGCCATTCCAGCCTCAGCCCCCCACCCCCAGCTGGCACCTTGTGTGTCTCTCAGGAGTGCCTGTCCCTGCACACCAGGGTGCCCAGCAGGTGTGGGCTTCCTCCTAAGGAGTGGTCAAGGAGCATCTGTCCCTCCCTGGAAGAGTGTCCCAAGAGGCAGGCCCCCTCAAAGCTGCACCAACGGGGCAAGTTTGGTTTTGCCAGGGACCACGTCCACACACCAGGCACCTCCATTCCCAAGGCCTCTGATCCACCTGTACCTATTTGTCCAGGAATATGCTGTCACCTATATGGTGGCCATCACCATTGCAATGGTCAGGTCTCTCCCCTTCTTCATGATGGAGAGCTTGAGGAGGAATCTGAGGCGCCAAAGGGCCCAGCTGGCCAGGCCCTGGGGTACCCACCGTGTGCGCCCCTCGTCCCAACAGAGGTGACAGGAAATGGCCTGCCACAGTGAGGCATACATTGTGCACACAGGCCCTGTTCATTGTGGTAGCAAAGATGCCACATCTGGAGCCGCAGCCCAAATCAGCTCAGGTTTTCCCTGGGCAGGCCGTGGGGTCTGTGACCCCCCTCTCTCTGGACTGCTGACATGAGCAGAGGTAATAAAGACCATCACCCACCTCCTGCGAGGCCCAGGATAGCCACACCTGCCCTCTTCCCCTTGGCCCAAAGCAGGTGTTTTCCTCTTAGGCACAGGTGACAGCTCACAGATGTCCCAACACTCTCCTCACCTCCATGACACCCTGACCCACAGCCCAGGTATGGGTCAAGCACCCATGTGTCCATTCCAGTGACAGCTGGAATGTGGCCACAATCCAAGTGGACACACCATGACCTAGACCTGGCCAGATTCCATCTGCAACTCAACCTCTATATGGCTACTCTAAGGGGCTCTGGGTGACACCCCAGTCCCTAGTGCCAGGGTTGGCCTGAGTCCTGTGGCTGATTATTCCCAATGTATTTGAGGACCTCTCCTTTAGGGAAAGAGCACTACAACACTTCAGGACACGACTTTCTGGGAGTTAGGCTCTTTCCGGCCTGGTCGCTGCTATCTCCATGTGAGACTTTGAACTCCAAGGGGCATCCCTGAGTGGAGGCTCTGCCCAAGGCTGGACTGGAGGGCTGGGGCACAGAATGGCTAGAGGAGGCTGGGATACTGTGAGGGCCTGGAGGCAGGAGAGGATTATCCCCTAAGTGACAAGGAATCCATGGCGACTTAGACAGGTCACAAGGCCCCAGTGCAGGGATCATCACCCTACCTTGCACAGAATGCCATACCCACAGGCCTCAGGGAACTCATTTCTGGAAGACCAGCAAGCACTGGCTTTGCAGCCAACCCACCCCAAGGTCACAGCCTGGAACAGCAGCTATGTTCCTGTGGGACCTTGGCCAGGGCAGCTCACCTCTCTGAGCCTCAGCCTCTGGGGGCAGGATCAGTCAAATATCCCCATAAGCCAGCCCCCGTGTCTTAGAGAGTGAGGACTTCAGGACCACCCTACTAAAGGCTCATTTTCCAGCCTCCCTTGCAGCTAGGATGATCATGTGACTATGTTCTGGCCAATCACATAGGAGACAAATTTTTATATCACTTCCTGGTAAATAGGTGAATAAATAATAATTAGAGGAGCTGGTGAAAAGGTAAGTGAGAGTTCCAGGGAAGGACGATATACTGGTGCTGTGGTTACAGTGTTACAGTAGTGGATCAAAGTGGATGAATGACCAAGGAGCTGAGTCTAATTTGGGGAACAGAAAAGAGTTTCTGCATTGGGGGTAGAAGAAACAGAGTGCTCAGGGAAGACTTCTGGGGAGGTAGTACCTTGGCGAGGCCCAAGGGCAGGGGTGGAGCCCAGCATCTTAGGGGCAGACATGCTGCACAAGCAACCAAGGCAGGGGCCTTCTCTCTCCAGAGTCAGTGGAGCTGAGCAGCGGGGAGACAGAGGAGCTGCAGAGGATCAAATGGCACCGGAAGCAGCTGCTGGAGGACATCCAGGTGCGTGCACACCTGTGGATCCACGCACGCACACACAGAGCCCCTGCAAACCACACAGGCGCACACACGCACATACAAGCACACGCGCCTCTCACCTGCTCCCTCTGAGACCAACCCCATGCCAGCCTGATCTGTGGGGGGATGAGGCACTGGTGGGAATTCAGGGGCAGCCAGGTCCCAGAGAGGCCTGGGCAGCCGAGAGGACAGTGAGCAATTCCATGGAGCGCCTGCCGGGTGCTGAGCCGCCCACCCAGCCCTCGCACCGCACTGCACACAGGTCTAATCCAGCTGTGTGGCCCAGTGAGCCTCGCTCCTCCCCCAGAATAGACTGTTGGGCCAAGATGATGCCTGCTGCATGCAAGTGCCTGGAGCTGATTAAGACTGCGGAGGGCTTGGGGGTGCGGGGTGCAGTGCTAAGGTGGTACCCAGGGCCCCACACACTCTAGGCAAGGACTCCACCCCTGAGCTCGGCCCCAGCTCTCCCCATCCCGTCTCACGCGCCTGCTCATCCGACTCTCAGCTCCCTTCTGTGGCAGGGATGGGCTCTGTCCCTTGAAGGTGCCTGGCTGGATCCTGCCCCAGCCCTCTGCACTCACCTTCTCCTCTGCCTGAGACGCTCCCATCCCCGCCCCTGCAACCCTTGCTTCTCATTACTTCATGCTTAAACCCTCCTCCTCCAGGCTGCCCACACTGCCCCGCTAAAAGCTGGGTGGGTCTGCTCCCCCAGCACTCACACAGGCATAGACATGACCATACAAAACCATTTATTCAGCTAGCACTTCACGGAGCACCCACTCTGTGCTGGTCTCTTGGATCAAATGCTCTGATCATTTCATGCATTGTTGTTTCATTTGCCTCATGGCTCCATGGTCCCAGCCCCACTGGGCCATGGGCTCCACGAAGGCAGAGCCCAGGCCTGGCCGCCCAGTCTGATCCTCAGAGCAGCAGGCGCTTGGTTCGTCCTTTCCAGAGCATTCCCACCCCATGTGTGGGCATCGCTTAGTAGTTCAGGCAGATCACATGGACAGCAGCTGCCTGGGCTTTGAGAAGGGTTCTCAGGCCCCCTGATGGTGCTGAGTCTCAGGAGTAGCCCCCAGGCACAGCCCATGCCCTGCACCCCACAATCTTGGGGTGACCCTTTCTAGGAGTGCTGACCAGGTGTTCATGTGCTGCCTCTGGAGGTGTGGCCTAGCCGCCCACCTCCCCAGCTGCCCAGTATGTGTTTGGAGGGGCAGGTTAGGGGTCTTGGAGCCCCCAGAGTCAAGATGACAAAGGCTTGGGGTGGGTCCTGGAGCACAGTTTGGAGGGAGACCTCAGGCCCATCACTGCCTCTCTGTGCCTCAGTGTCCCCTTCAACAGCTTTCACTGAGCTGCAAAGGCCCAAGGAGAGGGTCTGCAACCTGTGATCATGCCCTGTACCCTGTGCCCTGTGCCCTGTTCCCTATGTTTCCTGTGTCCTGTACCCTGTTCCCCCTGCCCTGCACTCTGTGCCCTGCATCCTGTGCCCTGTGCCCTGCACCCTGCACCCTGTTCCCAATGTTCCCTGTGTCCTGTGCCCTCTGCCCTCTGTCCTGCACCCTGCACCCTGCACCCTGTGCCCTGTGCCCTGTTCCCGATGTTCCTTGTGTCCTGTGCCCTGTGCCCTCCACCCTGCCCTATGCCCTCTGCCCTGTGTCATGCACCCTGTTCCCGATGTTCCCTGTGTCCTGTGCCTCGCACCCTCTGCCCTCTGCTCTGTACCCTGCACCCTGCACCCTATGCTCTGTGCCCTGTGCCCTCTCTCCTGTGCCCTGCACTCAGTGCCTGGAGTGCCTGGCAGGTAGTGGGCACTGAGAAGGGAAGAATGGAACACAGCACTGAGCCAGGGAGGAGCAGGGCTGAGCTCAGGGCTGAAAGCCACCTGAGCAGCTACAGGGAAAGAGGAGGGACTGGAGCCTGGAAGGCAGGCTCCCAGCTGGGCTTGAGTAAGCTGCTGGAAGGAGGAGAGGGCACTGTAGCAAACTTGGCCTGGGCAGAAGATGCCCCAGAGTAGTGGGAAGAGATGACAAGGCTGGAAACGGGGCACGTGATGACTGAGCACAAGAGCTGAGGGCAAGAGGAGCCCAGAGGCAAGCTCGGGGGACTTCACTTGAAGAGGGAATGTCCTTCCTCCAAGAGGAAGCTCTCGGGTGGGGTCTGGGGGTGGACATCAAGGACAGAAGCAGGGCTGGGTCACCCAGAGCAAGAGTGGCTGCACAGGCCCTGACCACCAGCCTGACCACCCGCAGAAGCTGAAGGATGAGATCTCAGAGGTGTTTGCCCAGATCGACTGCTTCGAGGGCATGGACCACAGGTGAGGGCGTGCACGAGGCCAGCTGCTGGGCACAGCTGCCACACACACCCCGTCGCATAGTACTTACCAAGCACCTAGCACCCAGTGGTTCTCAGCATGTTAACCCTGGCAGTGCGGAGGCAAGGGGCGCTGTGACCCCTTGGCAGACGCAGAACCCTAGGCCTGCAGGGAGCAAGTGACTGCCAGATTGGCTTCCCCCTGCTAGGGGGAGATTTACACCTTGGTGTCAGCTCCAGGGCCTGTGCCCCCCACCCCACCCACGGCCCAAGGCCTATGGCTCCCCAGAAGGGCCCTGAGGAGGGGGCATGGGATCCCTGAGCCACCCACCAATGCCCTTGCGTCCACAGCCGGATGGCGCAGAAGGAGAAGGAGCTTTGCATTGGGCGCAAGAAGTTCAACATGGACCCCGTGAAGGTCAGCAGGGCCTCGGCGGGCTACGCTCTGGGCGTGTTCCCAGGGCCTCTCTTTCCCCCTTCACACAGGGGGCCCTGAGATCTGAGGCTTCCTCCCCAAAGACGCCCTCCTGCCCTGCCCTAGGGAAGCCCTTCCGGGTCTCCACACCACCTCCTGCTGGCCAGCTGGCCCCAGGTGGGGACAGGGACAGGAAGTCACATGCCCACACTCCAAGGGGGAGCAAGGGTGGCAGGGGGAGGGCTAGGTGGAGTCCCTGGTGGTGTCCTGCTACAGCTACGGCCACCTCTGCCCCAGGCCAGTCGAGTGACAATGCACTCACTGTCACTGTCACAGCCCCTGAGCCTGTGCCCCAATCCACCCATGCACATAGGCCTGCCAGAACCCCCAAGCTGCAGCCCCATCCAGACTCTGAAGTCAGGCTTTTGGACCCTGGGGGACTTGGGTTGCTTTCTGCCCTTTGGATTTAGTTATTTTTTTCTTTTCTCCAACTTTTATACAATAACATGGATTACTTGTGTGACAAAGCGAAACACTATTTTTAAGGTTTTAAGTTTGTGGGGAACAAAAGAAAAGGCTGAATCTGAGAATTATGAATGCATAGAATTGTTGGAGCATATAATCAATGGCTGCCAGGCTGAAAGGGCACCCTGGAGAGCACCTGGCACGAGCCTGGCTGGTTGCAGGAACTTGCACGCCTCCAGGGACAGAGAGCTCACCACCTCACAAAGGCGCTTCCTGTTCAAGAGGGACAAATTGCCAGAACAGGCCGTGCCATGCAGAACAAGGGGCCCCGGGCTCCCTCCCTGTCTGCCCTCCTCCCCTTCCATCCCTGGCCCACTGCTCTGTCCCCCCAGGGCATCCAGTATCTCACTGAGCACAAGCTGCTGAAGCCTTGCGCCCAGGACATCGCCCAGTTCCTGTACAAGGGCGAGGGCCTCAACAAGACGGCCATCGGCACCTACCTGGGGGAGAGGTGAGGGCACGGGGGGGGGGGACGGGGGGGGGGGGCAGCAGGAGGTGGGGTGTGCGGACAGCGATGGTGCATGGTGTTGTAGGGCTGCGGGCCGCCCATGCCCTCCGCTCAGTCGCGCTCATCTGAGACTCACAGGCTGGTCCCGAAGGTACCACTCCAGGTCCTGGGTCAGGGACATAAATGTCAGCGGGAGCCGCTCATCACGGTTACAGCCCTGAGTTCCTGATGTTCAGAGAATGCAGGGAAGGACTGAGGGCTCTGACGACCCTGAGCCTCCTGCTGCGATCGTAGGGAGGATGGACAGGAAGGTTCTTAGGTGACAGGCAGGCACTGGAGCACGCCTCTTGGGAACAACAAAGGCCCCGGGGCAGCCGCAGCCTCAGGAAACAGCAAGCTGGGGAGACCAAAGAGAATGAGGAGTAGGATGGATGTGGCAGGGAAGAGGTGGGGTCTGAGGAGAGGTCCCGGTGGAGGGGTGACCTGGGACTGCCCTCCCGCTAGTCCTCAGGGTCAGACCAGAGGGAAGGAGGCCAGAGCTGGGTCAAGCAGGGGCTGAAAACGTGCGCATGCGCACAGCGGGGCAGGGACGATGCTGCTCCTCCAGGAGGGGGCGCCAGCAAGTTCTCAAGCCTGCCCCCCATCTCTCCAGGGATCCCCTCAATCTGCAGGTCCTCCAGGCCTTCGTGGACTGCCACGAGTTTGCCAACCTCAACCTCGTCCAGGCCCTCAGGTGAGTGGTGGGCAGGGCCAGGCCTGCAGGGGTCAGCCTGAGGACTGGGGTGTCCAGATCCCAAGACAAGGACATCTGCCAAGCGGTGGGGCAAAGGCAGGAAAACACAGGAAGCCTCGGGGTTACACCTGCCTTGGGCTCTGGCGGTGTGGGTCACAAGCAGAGGAGCCCGCCCTGGCCTGGCTTTTATTACGGAGGTGTCTTGCTTGTGTAAGTACGAACATGGGCATCAGATGACGGCGAAATGCCATTCTGTTCCTCTTGGGGTTCGTGCTGGTTTTCTGGTTTGTTTGTTTGGTTTCGTACGGAAGATCAAACTCAGGACCTGGCGCTTGCCAGGCAGGTGCTTATGCCGCTGAGCTATCTCCCCAGCCCTGACTTTCTTCAACTACTAGAGCTGGGTATTTCCTGCACGTGGTACCTTCTGGCTGGGGACTGATGCTGCCGTTTGTGTTTCCACCACTTTGGCAGGCGTCAGGCACAGAGTTCGTAGCATGAGCTCCACAGCCAGGCTGACCCCTGCCTGTGTGACCATGGGCCAGTCACCAAAAGGAAGCCTCTCTGTGCTGTTTCATTTGTAAAATGGGCCTCATGACTGCACCTCCTTCACAGGGTTGTGACGAACAGATGCGAGAGCTGGCTCGCAGGATGTGCTTAGGGAGTCTTGCTGCTGGCAGTAAGGCCCCGAAGTCAGCTCCCAAGAAAGGGCACTCCATCTGGGCTTTGGAGGATGAACAGGAGTTTGCACAGAGGAAGCCTGCACCCTCCATCTCCCCTCATCGTTAAAGGAAAGGAGTGGGTCACTCAGGAGCCTCAGGCTAGGAGCAGACACAGCCGTACCCCCAGAAACTCACCCCGCAATCCCCACTTCAGGCTCAGGAGGGAAGTGTAGGTTCCAAGCATGGAGGCCCAGCCAGGGGAAGACACATAGCTGGGTCCGTGGGCTCAGTGCGCCTGCCCTACAGTCTCAGTGATGCCCAGAAGGGCCTGGGGAGCATTTCTTGCTGCCCACACACTTGCAGCCTGCACATGTGAGCCCCCTCCCATCCCTGGGGCTCAGCTCCAAGCAGTCACCCCTCTGCTCCCTATGGTCCACTCCTCCCAGGCAGTTCCTGTGGAGCTTCCGGCTGCCCGGTGAGGCCCAGAAGATCGACCGCATGATGGAAAGCTTCGCCGCCCGCTACTGTCTCTGCAACCCAGGTGTCTTCCAGTCCACAGGTATGACCCCTCAGCACGGCCAGGCTCCACCCACACAGACTTGCCCTCCATGCCAGGCCATCTGCTGGGTGCTGGTCTGGTAGAGCCACCTCGGGACACGGTCCTGGGGAGAAGTGGCAGGGAACAATGACACAAGGTACCAAAGTACCAGCACCTCTGTCTGAGGGGAGGTGGAGGGGAGTCAACATGTCCAGAATGACTTCTCAGATAAGACCAAATAGGATTTTGAAGGATGAATAGGAGTTCTGTATGATATTTTTGGCTAGATTTTCCATTTCAACAAAGGCTTAGAAGCATGAAACAGTGGGACAGGGTATAAAGGACAAAGGGCATAGAAGGAGAACTACAAAGCTCAATGCTGCACCCTCTGCTCCAGGGCTAACCAAAGGCTCACACATAGACACCAGAGGACAGGGTGAGCCAGGGGCCACCACAGCCCACTTGCCTGGCCTCTTCCCTGGATCTAGAGGTGAAATGATAACAGCCAGTTCTGTTCATGGAGTGGTCCTGGGGTGCAGAGGGCCGTCTGGGCACAAGGTCACTGGGCATCCTCATCCCTTCTTGGGATATAGAATCCAGACTCAGAACAGAGGAAAGACGCACTGTCCCTTGGCCCTGTCTTGGGACATGGAAACGTCCCATGAAGGCTGGGACCTGGCAGACCTGCCCACCAAGGACAGGTCTGCCAGTGCAGGGCAGTACTCCACAGACACCGGCAAGTGGGAAGGGAGAGATTCTCAAAGCACTAGGTGAATCGCCACCCAATCGGCTCTTAATCTTGTGACCTTGGGCATGTAACCTGGCTTCCTGGTATCTCAGTTTCCTCATCTGTGAAATGGGGTAGGGCTGGTGGGGAGTAGGGCATGGTGGGGAGGTTAAGGGCTTCGCCCCTGGCCAGAACAGTGTTTGGGAGCTATTCTGGATATTGGAGTAGAATCGCTGATGCTCTCGAATGCAGAGCTGCTGTGAGGTGGAACTCCCTAAGCCGTGGGCAGGGAAGCTGCAGGCCAAGGGTGCTGAGTACTGCCCAAGTCACCGGGAGCTGGACCACCTCTCCAGGGGCCCCAAGTAGCCAGCAGGGGTCCCACACTCCCCTGCAACCCAGGACATCTCAGGGGCAGAGCCAGCTCCTGAGCCCTTCAAGGACTGCAGTGCCAAGTACTTACTGGGCCAAGCAGCCCAAGATGGAGCCGGAGCAGTGCAGCTGCCATGGGCAGCCGAGTCCCAGGGAGGCAGAAAACGGGGTGGGCAGGGGCTGGGGGTGGGTGTGCAGGAGGTGGGCTAGAGCCAGGGCAAGGGTGTGAAGATCTAAAGGGTGATGGTGAGAGGTACCCAGAGGGGGAGGCACTTTGGGGAGAGGCCCAGGGAACAGCTCCGGTGCAGCTGAAGTGTAGGCAGTGGGGAGACCAGCCAGAAGGGGGTGAGGCTGGGCCTCGAATGCCAAGCCAGGGTCCCCCGTGGCCTCTAGGGGCCTTGAGAGGGTCAGCCAGGGGAAGGGAGCACGGCATGCCAGGCCTGTGACCCAGTCTGCCCCCACAGACACCTGCTACGTGCTGTCCTTCTCTATCATCATGCTCAACACCAGCCTCCATAACCCCAACGTGCGCGACCGGCCGCCCTTCGAGCGTTTCGTGTCCATGAACCGGGGCATCAGCGGCGGCGGGGACCTGCCCGAGGAGCAGCTGCGGGTAAGTGGGTGCTGCTACCACAGCAGCCAGGTGAGCGGCCAGGAAGCCCAGCCCTCGGGGGCCGGCACAGGGCAACTGCCCTGCAATGAACTGTCACAAATGCAGCTCCCAAGGAGGGCCAGGAGTGGGGCCCACGCCCCTCCATCTAATCTGGCTTCTCCCCACACTGCTGCAGGCTCTGTACCAGCTGCTGGCCCCAGGGATGACACAGCATGGGTCCTGCCTTGCCCAAGCTTGGGGTGTGGGGGGACGATATCTCCGTGCAAATCACAGCCCTGGGGCACTGAACCCCTCAGACCGGAGACAGCTGCTGTCTTGCTCCAGGGGCCAGGGAGGGTCCATTTGGGAAGACCCCCCTGGAGTGGGGGAGCCTGCAGAGGGTTATCCCCCTCCTGGCATCAGAGAGGAGGTAACTTCCAGAAGGGAGGCTGGAAAGGACATTCCTGAGAGAGAACCTACCAGAACCCCAGCGTGGCCAGCTGAGATGAGGGTCCTGTTGGGCAGGAGCACGGGGCCCAGTGTCCAGGGCTCAGCTTGTACACTTGGGGGGACACGTGGAGCCTGGCACAGCCAAGTGAATGGCCAGGTGCCTTCAAGGTGCCCAGAGCTCAACACCACCTTGTCCCCAGGTCAGAGCTCATGGGGACATGGGCAGCTCCACAGCCAGCTCAGCACGCCCAGGACCTCCTGCCGTAATCTGGGCCCCTGGCCTGAGTAGTGCCTTCCCCCCAGCCCAAGACTGCCTCATTCCCAGAGTGAGGTATTCAGTCCCATGATCCCCACTGGCCCACAGCGTGATCTTAGGTAGTGACTCACTGGAGTCCAGGCCTCCATTCCCTCCAAAAGGGCATGGGGATAGCTGTCCTGTGTCACAGAGCTGCTGTGAGTTGTAATTTTACAAACGTAAAGGGCACAGCCCGCGCCAAGTGCGTAATGCAGGCTCCACGCAGTGGCTCATGTCCCTGTGCAGGACGATTAATACTGAGAAAAACAGCGCTCGGTGAAATGGTGCAGCGGAAGAGGCTCAGAGAGCGGGGTCACTGCGGGTCTGCAGCCAGCCACACCATGCACATCCCGACTTCAGCATTGGCTGAGGTGTGAGCTGCAGCCCGCTGGCTCTCCCAGGTGCCACGTCCCTGCCGCCAGCTGCCAGCAGCCTCCTTGACATCTCGCTCCCTCTTGTTTCCACCTCAAGCCTTTGTTAATAACAGTGCCTGCGTGTGCACGGAGCTGGGAACTTTCTTCTCACAAGGCTTGGCGTATTATCTCCATTTAGCCTCCGACTCCACCCGGGGGGTCTGTATAGGATTATTATCCTCTTGGCAGCCCAGAGAGGTGGTGCAGAGCAGGAAAGAAAAAAGTGCTGAGCTCCCACCATCACCACCCCAGCCACCCTTCTGCCTGGCTGAGACCTCAGGCGCCCTGAGTCCCCCGTGTCCAGGGTCAGTGTGGAAATGCTGGGCTTTTGGCTGAGTGCCTGGGTAGCTGGAGAGGCCAGAGAATCTTGAACCTTTCCTGGCAGCATCAACAAGCACACAGGACCGATCTGCTCTACTCAAGAGCTTCGCAGTTGTCCGCATGGACTTGGAGTCCCTTGGTCATTCTCTCTGGGCCTTGTTCTCCACGAATCAGAAGAACAGAGGCTTGCAGCCCCTTTGTGGAAGGGAGTCCTCCAGGAGGAGACCCTGCCTGGACTGGCTGCAGAGGACACGTAATGTTTTCTTGCATCCTGTGTACAGTATTAAATGTGACCTAAACAGAGGTCACCCCAAGGGCGCACAGACCCTGAGGGTGCACAGGTGGGAAAGGCTGTGAGGTGGGAGGTGGCAGGGGAGGAACGGGGTCCTGGAGCCAGCTCTGCCCTGGCTGATTTGGGTGGGGCCAGGCAGAGAGCTTAGGGGTCTTAGGGCCAAGATCAGTGTGCCAGCTCTGCCCTGGGCAGTGTGACACGGAGCACTGACCTGTTACCTCATCTGTGTAGTGGGTTGATGACCCTAACTCAGCATTTTCCTGAGAAGCAAGGCATGGGCACTGAGCAGGCAGGGAGGGTGGCAGGGAGACCAGGCACTCCACTCTCTGGTGGTACAGGTAGAGAAACTGAGGCCTACATAGGGGCCGAGTCTCCAGCCCTGGACACCTGGGGTCTGCTTCAGACTTCTCTATCAGAGCAGCCTGAGTGCCAGGCATAGTTCTAGGCACTGGGTGTACTCATTTAGCCCCGTGTGCCCAGTGTACACTGAAGATACTGGGCTCTAAGAGATGCAGCGGGTCAGAGGGTGCACTCCTGCGAAGCACCCCCACGCATACTATCCATGCAAAGCCCTTTCCTCTGCAGAGAGTACAAGGCAAGATGTGAGGACAAAGGACTTGGTCCCAGCAGCCAGTTCCTTCCTGGCTTGGGAGCCCTGAGCTCTTGTCACTGAAAAGATGAAGGGTCAAGTGTCCTTCAGACTGTGGTGTCAGGCTTGACTAGATGCACAAGCTCCAGATATCTGCACTCCTCTGTGGCCTCCCACAGGTGGCCTTCCCCAAGTGGCAGAGGTGGCCCTGGGGCCTCTGGGCTCAGCAGCCTCCTGCTGAGCTGCCCCAGCTCAGGTGCCAGAACTGAGGCTCAGTGACTTACTGCTTGGGTCACTTGCGCCACCCTGACCCAGTCACCAGGCAGATGGCAGGCAGCTCAGCTGCATGTGAGTCATCCTCTCCCTCCTGGAGCCAGGGTGCTAACCCCCTTCCAAACACCCTGCCCTGGGGCCCTAGGGGAGAGGTGACAGGTGGAGCTGGGGGATGAGCAGGCATGGGGCCTTCAGAGCTCCTGGAAGGGGATGCGGCCAGGGGACGGTGAGGTAGCTGGTTGGGTAGCAGTGGATACTGGGGTATTTACAAGGCACAGGAAGTGTGGGCGAGCTGAGCTATCTCTTTGTGGGGGCAGAATGTGTGCGAGCTGATATGGTAACTGGTGACCACAGAGGCTGCAGGGCCCCTGCGGCTTTGGTGGAGGCTGCCTGCACCCCCGCTCGCCTCCTTGGGCCTCCCCAGCGTTTGTCTCTACCGAGAGCTCTGCCAATGAGGCTTCTCTGCCAGAGGTGGCTGTTCTGCCAGCCGGTGGCACCCGGCAGCTCCTAGGGAAGGCTGGGCCTGCAGCAGCAGGGCTCCCAGGAGACGCAGGCCCCTGCTCCCCGCTCCCAGTTAAGGCCCTCAAGGCCTGCCGGAAGCCACGCTCGACCACCCCCACAGAGCCCAGGGAACACTGCTTCGGCCTGCACCCCACTCAGAACCCTCAAGCTCTCAGATCTGAGAGGATAGAAACAACCAGCAAGCACCACTTTGCGAACTTGAAGAGAATAGAAGGAGGTTTAAAAAATTTTCCATTGAAAATCTCAAGGAAACCATTAGCAGCCCACACAGACGCAACAGGAGGAAATGGTTTAGTTATCTCTGACGGAGTCCTGTCTGATTTAACAAGCAGAGCCAAGCAGTTTAGAGTGTCCTTCCGAAGCCTTGAAATCCAGGCAGAGGTGGCTCTTGGAATCCAACCAATGCCTTGTGGCAGGACATTCAAAACATCCAGGGCTGCATCTGCTTGGCCCTCAGAGAGTCCCAGCCCTGGCTTGCATACCTCCAGGGACCGGCAGCTCATTCCCTACATGGTTGCACCTGCCATCTTTCAGCAGTTCCTGCTGCCAGAGTCCTCTCTGGGGACCTAGAATCTGTTCTCAGGGACCCCAGCCTTGACCCTGCAATCAAAGCCCCTGCAGCCAGGGTTCCTTGGAAAAGGGGACTTGTAGGGCATAGTCAGCAACCTACCTGGGGTCTCCCCTTCTAAGCCATGCACACGGATGAGTCAGTACCCTCCACTGCAGGGGGCCCTGTGTCCCCAACCTCACCTGCACGTGAAGGACTCAGCTGCTCCCTGAGGCAGCAGAAAGGACTCTCGGGGGGCAGCCCTCTAGCTGCTTCTGTGCCCAGAGTGCACACAGGGAGGCTGGGTGCCACCAGGCCCAGAGCACAAGGGGACACCACTGGGCTCCCCTGGGGCCAGAATAAGCACACAGAAGGGAACGGCTTGCGGGACAGAAGGACTGGCCCCAGCACCCAGGGCACACACCCAGGCCCTTCCTCTCCACTCCCTTCCAGAACCTCTTCGACAGCATCAAGAGTGAGCCCTTCTCCATCCCTGAGGACGACGGCAGTGACCTCACCTACACCTTCTTCAACCCAGATCGGGAAGGCTGGCTGCTCAAGCTGGGTGAGAGGTCCCTACAGTCCAGTGCACACCTCTAGTGCCCATGCATGCTCACAAACACGTTCTGCTGTCCATGCACACTCAGGCACACGCAGGCTTGTAGCTGACGCCTGTATACATGCTCACATCTCATGAACCCCAGCACAGTGGTGCTCTGCTGGCTCCATCCTTCCATTCATGAATGCACCAGTTCATCTACCCATCCTTCCATCTGGCCACACATCTGTCCATCCACCCATCCATCCATCCGTGCATCCACCCATCCACTCATCCACTCATCCACTCATGCATTCATCCATCCATCCATCTATCCATTCATCCACCCATTCATCCACTCATCCATCCATACAGCCATCTGATCATCTAGCCCCACCATCCATACACCCCCCCACCCACCCATCCCTCCACTTGTGGGTCAATGGCAAGCCTTTTAGAGTTTCCAATGATAGCTAAGAGCCCACTGCAGCACCTGTGCTGTAGGCTCACCACTCTGACCCAGGAATGAAGCAGTGTGGGAAGGCAGAGCTGTAAGGATAGCTGCAGAGTGACCTCTGCACAGCTCTGAAGGCAAGAGAAGGGTCTCGGACCTGCTAAACAAGGCCAAGGTGTAGGACCCAGAACAGCCAAGCTTTGGGTAGCCTTCTGTAGTAACCAAAGCTCCAACGAGGGTAGGGCACCTGCCCAAGGCCACAGAGCCAACAAGTGGCAGACTTGGGGGAGCAGTGGGTTGGGTGTCTCAGGAAGGGGTGGAAGTACCACAGGATGTGGCTCCAGAGATGCTGTGGCAGGTACAAGTGGCAGCGGTAGTGGGCGTAGCATGGCAGCCGCTGTAAGATGTAGCCAAGGAACAGCAGGGCAAGCCAACTGCCCCTGCCTCCTGACACAGGCTCCTGGAACCCCAGCAAGACCAGCAGCCAGGGTCACAGGCAGTGGGGGGGACTCCTAGTGTTGGAGAAGGGGTCTCCTTCCAGCCCCTCCAGCCCCACCCAGCCCAGCCACACCCGGACCGTCCCTGGTCCTGCCAGCCCCCGGGAAACACTAAATCACCAATCTGACCTCCTAGTCTCCTCGCTGCGCTCACCCCGGGGCCCTTCACTGTGTGCTGACAATCAGGGTTCCTGGCCCAAGATTCTGCACTTGGAAAGCAGGGACAGAGATCCTTCAACGCCTGAGTGTAGCAATCCTGCCAGGGGCTCAGGCTTCAGGATCGGGACACAGAGGCTGAATCCCAGCTCTGGCGCCACAAACTGTGGTGTCTGAGCCTCTCTCCACCTCAGTGTTCTCATCTGTAAAAGAGTTAACCATGGCCCTCCCCTCATAGGGCTCAGATGTGTGTGTGTGTGTGTGTGTGTGTGTGCGCGCGCGTGCGCTCATGCACGCGCTTGGTACAGGGTCTCACTACACAGCTTGGACTCATAGTGATCCTCCTGTTTCAACCTCCCCAATGCTGGGATTACAGGCATGTGCCACCACACCTTGTCTAAGTGGCCAGCTCAGCACACATGGGGTGGGGCCGGCTCAACGTGCAGTACCAGGGATCAAACCCCAGGTCCTTGTGCTTGCCTAGTCCACTGTGTTGTCTCCATGGCCCTGGGATTAATATTTTTAAAGTCCTGTAGAACACCGCCTGGCCCATGGAAGACGCCTGTTTAGCACAGGGCCCAGGAGGCAGTGGCCAGTGGCCAGGAAGAGTAGGGAGGTGGCCGTTACCCCTAGGCAGCCCTGCGTGCAGCTTGGGACAAGCCTGGGTTATGCAGTCTTTAAGGTTTTGGGGTGCCAAAGGATGGTGTGGGAGGGTCGCTATGGCCCAGGAGGAGGAGAGCTGACAGGTTGTACTGTCCCCTTCCTTTAGGGGGCCGCGTGAAGACCTGGAAACGGCGATGGTTCATCCTAACCGACAACTGCCTCTACTACTTTGAGTTCACCACTGTGAGCATCCCACCCCCTGCCACCCTCTGCTAACCCTCACCAGCCACTCAGCTGACAGAGCATAGAACCCTCCAAGATGCATCAGAGCCCCTCTTCGGGGCCCATTTGACAGAAGAGGAAAACTGAGGCCAAAGAGGAGGCAGAGTCAGGCCAAGGGCTGGGCCCCTCCTCTCTGGGTCTGGGGAGCCCAAGCTTGCTCCCCACCCTCAGCCTCAAGGTTCCAGTCACTGACCCTGTCTTTTTTCTCCCCTCTAGGACAAGGAGCCGCGAGGAATCATCCCCCTAGAGAACCTCTCTGTGCAGAAGGTGGATGACCCCAAGAAACCAGTATGTATCAAGCTGAGCACCCCTCTCAGGGCCACTGCATAGCATCCTAGCCAGGAGAGGAGGGTCGGGGACAGGGTTTCCTGGAGGCTCAGTCCCAGCTGCTTCACAGAGCCTGACTCTGGCACTAGCTTGATGACCACATGAAGGTCACTGTTGTCTCCTAAGCCTATGGCCCCACCTGTCATATGGGGACTTTAAGGGGACCCATGATATAAGTGGACCCTGCCCCGTAGCAGATGCAGCCCCTGCCCCAGCCCCTGTCAGGGTTGGCTGCATCCTCCTGGGGGTCACTAGAGTGCCTGCCTGGCCCAAGAGGCGGGTCCCCCAAAGGTTCCCAGAAAGCAGGGCTGCCTGGCTGCAGCCCAGCCCGGCACCAGCCCTCACCAGCCCCTCTGGCAGTTCTGCCTGGAGCTCTACAACCCGCGCTGCCGAGGCCAGAGAATCAAGGCCTGCAAGACGGATGGCGACGGCAGGGTGGTGGAAGGCAAACACGAGTCCTACAGGATCTCGGCCGCCAGCGCTGAGGAGCGTGACCAGTGGATCCAGGCCATCCAGTAAGGGCAGGTGCCTGCCTCCTCCTGGGGGCCGCTGCTTCTCTGGGTCTCAGCTTCTCGCATGGCGGTCCCTTCCACGAGGCCCAGGACACGGAAGGGAGGGACTGACTTTAGGCACAGCTGGAGGCTGCTGGACAGACAGCTCCTACCCACCCCCACACCCTCATTAGCGCCCCTGCTCCTGGTGGGGGAAGGAAGGGCTCTCCAGGTGAAGGGGCAACAGGACCAGTCCATGGCAGGGGCCCCTAGACAAGTGAGGCTGGGCTGGGTTGGGGCTGAGCAGTGAGAGATGCAACCACAGAGAGTAGAGCCACAGCCACTGAGACACTTCTGTCTCCTGGGGTCACTGGGGGGCCACAGACTGGCAAACAGGGAAGGACACGTTCAGGTGAGAAAAGCTGCAAGGTAGGGCCAGTTCTGAAATCAAGCATCAGATCTGTCACTACAGGCCAGGTGAGGGAGGCAGATGTGGCCTCAGATTGGGAGAAAGGCAGAGAGGGAGCCTGGTGGGGACAAGATGAGAGCCAGGTATTGGGCCTACCTAACACAGGTGGGCCCTGCTACCAGGGCAGTTCACTGCCCAAGGAGACTTGTGGAATCTGACCCAGGCCTTGAAGCAGCCTGTGCAGCCACCAGCCTAGAACCCTTCGAGACTCCATTTTGCAGATGGGGAAACTGAGGCCTAGGAAGGAGAGAAACTTGTCCAGGGTCACACAGCCAGTAAGGGGCAGAGTTGGTCCCCTAAGCAGGTCTCTGACACCAGCCAGGCCCCCTCTAATCCCTGGGAGTCTCCTGGGGGCCCAGGGGCACTTAGGGGTGACTTCCTGGTGCTCAGCCCCAACACACGGTACACTGGGCATGGCCCCTGCTGGGGTTGCCTCCTGGGGCACCCACACCCCCAGCCACAAGTCCCAGGACCCCTGACTCCCCGGGCAGTGCTCAGCCCCTTCTCATGTCCCCTGCCATCCCTGCAGGGCCAGCATCACCCGCGTCCCCTTCTACGACCTGGTCTCTGCACGGAAGCAGAAGATCGCCAGCAAGCAGTGAGCAGCCAGAGAGGCGCAACAGGGAGATCGCAACCACCTTTTCATCCTCAGACACCCCCAATCACCTGGAACTGACCTGGGGGCCGGGTGGGAACCCCAGAGGGTGCAGAGCCCACCTAGAGGTCCTGGACCCGGTGGCCCTGCCCCCAGATCCACACTAAAGATATGAGGAGCCCAGCCGAGGAGAACAAGAAGCGCATCTCCTCTCAAGGCTCTTTGCCCTTGGAGTACACTCAGCCCTCAAAGCAGGGGCCTGAGGCCCCTGGGGGATCCCTACCCTTGGCCAGGCACCCCCACCGCCCTGAGTGTGTCTCTGTGAGCCAGTTTGGACTTGGCTGTCCTTGCTGGAGCAGAGCTAAAAACACACATGGCGAAGGTCCAGGGCCAGGACACAGGCAGCCCTGGCCCCAGCCTTAGCTCCCTCTCACCTCTGTGTGGAGCCAGGTGGGCCACTGGGCTCAGGCCTAGCAGCACAGCCTTTCTGGGGCTTCCCTGCTGGACTATAGCCAGGAACCGAGGTGGTGAGGGCAGCGGGGTGGGGCACAGCACCCCAACCTCCTGCAGCCCAATCCCAGAGGCCCAGCATCCTGGTACCACAGGCAACTCTGACTCCAGGGGACCCTACCCCTCAGAGGAGCATCTTACACCCCCTCACCCCCCCACCCCCACCTCCCAGCCCAGGGAGCCCAGGGAGGGAGATTCCCTGGCTGGACAACAGGAAATGGCTCTGCCCCACTGCCAGGCTGAGTGGGCGAGTGTAACAGACAGAATTCCCCAGGGGAAACTGTGGGTCACCAAGCAACCACCCTTCTTCCCGCCCCCACACCTGCGCACATTTGCCAGGGTCAGGATGGAGACATGTCCTCTAAGGGAGTGAGACCCCTGTCTCTTGGAGTGTGCAAGAACCTGGTAGCTCTCTTGCTTTAGGTGAGGCCCAGGTTGGGCTTCCGCGGGCGGAGGCCTAGGTAAACATTTGGTGACATGAGCCGAGCCCCTGCGGCTGCCTCATTTGGCCCGTGAATGGGCACAGGATGAGACAGAAGGAACACTGAGCTGGAGATTGGACCCCTGAGCGCCTCTCTTGGACCCAGTCCCTGCCTCCTGCCTCCTGCCTCCTCGCCCTTGAGGGCTCAGGACTAACATGAGCAGCTGCTCTGTGGGTCCCTCAAAAGACAGAATAAAGCATATAGTCAAAACAAAACAAAACATACAGTCCAACTCCTGAGCAAGGGTCCTTCCCCACCCTGGCCCAGACAGGGAAGGTGGGCATCCAGAGAGGCCTTGAGCCGCATCCTAAGGATCCTGGAGCTGCCACACTGGACAGAAGTCCCCAGGGGCTGGGCTTCAGGCAGGGCTCCCTTGGGGCAGGGACAGGGCAGGGTTGAGCTGATACTACCATGTCCAGGGAAAGGGAGAAGAACTTTCTAGCAAGCGGTGATATCTACAGGCAGAAAGTCACTACTGCAAGAGTCAGGTGATGAGCTCCCTGCCTCTGGCGGGATGCAAGCACAGGCCGTCACTCCAGGGGCTTGATTCTGTGGGTTTCATTTATCTGTACTCCCACAAACACACATGAGCACCAATGCCAGGCCAGGCACTTTTCTAGGCATGGGTAGAACCGGACAGAGTCGCTCATGCCTGGATTCTAATATGCTAGTGCTCCTGAATCCCGAGCTGCTAGGCAGCCCCCTTAAGGTGTTAAGGACACCCCCAGATCCTACTGAGGCCCCTGTCTGAAATCCCATTGCTGGTGGCCAGAGGAGGACACAGGCGTAGACGACCAGCTGTAGCCAACTTGACCTGTGTTGTTGCAGGGGGAAGAGGGCTGGACTGGCAGAAGGGCACCTGGGAGGTTCCCTGGAGGAGGCAGCTGAGGGTGCAGCCCAGATGGGAAAGGGTGCACGCTGCACCACACTGAGCCCTCCTCACATCTGCCTCTGTCTGTCTGCAAGCTCCTCGCGGGTCTCAGAGCATCTCCTCTGTGCCTAGCATTCAGTAGGTGCAGTAGTCATCGGTTTAGTGTCAGCTGATGAAGGTACTCAGAGCTACAGCATCAAGTGCCAGAGTCTCAGGCCCCTGGGACTTGTGGGAACGCTGCTGCTGCTGCTGCTGCTGCTGCTGCTGCTGCTGCTGCTGCTGCTGCTGCTGCTGCTGCTGCTGCTGCTGTCGCTGCTGCTACTGTCGCTGCTGCTACTGTCGCTGCTGTCGCCACTGTTGCCAGGGGCTGGAGAAAGCAAAACTGGGAGGGCCTCGCTTTGACCGACAGACCCAGGCCCCATGTCTCTGCCCCTCCCAAGGCAGCCTGTGCCCCCTTCCTGCCATCCTGCCACTCCCCCCTCTGGACAGCAGGGGGCGCCCACCACACACGGATGAGCGCTACTCCTCCCACCACCGCCTTCAGAGACTGGGCCTGTGTGAGAGGGGGTCCCGGGGAAGCCTCAGCCAGGGCATCCTGGGTGGGAAGCACTTGGCCCACTAGGGCCTGCAGGCTTGGCAGAACCCATGGATCACACTAGCAGAAGCATGTTCCTCACCCCCTGCCTGGCCTGGCACAGGAAGACAGGCTTGCCCGCTGTCTGCTGCATGCCCTTTCTCTGGGGCCTGGGCCAGCCGAGTTCCACCTGCACAGACCTTCCTGGTGCTCAAGGTCTGGGGCACCAGAACACAGCCGCTCCTGCCTGAGAAAATGAACAGAGCCGGGAAAGCCACTTACTGTGAGAGGCCACAGGGTGCAGCAGGGAGCATCACTCAGAGCCTTGGGTTCAAGGCCCAGTTATACTCCGAGCCATAAGCAAATTTGTGGAATGCTGTGGGCCTCCGACTTCCCCTCTATAACACCGAGAGCACTGAATATGTGTATAGTTCCCAGGACAGCCACTCCAGATTTAGTATTCTCACAGATTATATGCGCTGTCATTGGAGGAGAAGCAGACGGGGCCACTGGAGGAGGTAGAAACCTGGGGAGGGGGACATGCTGGAGGGCGTCTCGGAAGAGGTGCCCTATGTCGAGCTCAGTGGAGGCCTGGGTCTTCTGCCAGTGGGGCTTAGAAGAAACAGGTTGAACATGCAGGACCAGGCTGGGGGGTGTCTGGGCCCACACACCAGCACAGGGGTCCACGAAGATGCAGGGTGAAGGGGTGCCGGCCCCTGGAAGCATAGTATTGAAACCCAGGTCCCTGAGCCCCAGCCCTACCACAGGAAGCTATGGGGGCCTGGACGCCGCTGCTGAGCAGAGCCACAAGGGTCCCCATCAGCACAGGGGGCTGAGAGGAGTGGCTGCAGCAAGGGCCCAAGTGCCAGGGGTAGGAGACAGAGGCAGCCAGTCCCAACTTGAAGGCAGGTGCAGAGAAACTGATTTATTAGGGACAATGAAAGGAGCTAAATATGTTTGCAGGCTCAGCAATGACTCAGGCGTTCCCCAGGGGTTCGAAAGTATGAGCATCAAACAATCAAAGGCAGGCCGCCTCCCAGGGCACTGCCAGCCTCGCCCCTGCTTCCTGTGATGGGAGGACCCGCCTCATGGATCTATGAGATCTCACCCACGGGGCTGAAGAGCCTGAGGTTAGACACAGGTGGGCTGCAGTCTTGGCCTAGCCCATCTGCTGTGTGACCCTGGACAAGTGGCTGACTCTCTCTGGACTCACAGTCACCAGGGAGACCCCAGCCCACCAAACCTAGCTTCACTCCCCCTTTTGTCAGGTGTGGTTGCTCCCATCGCGTTGGGCTCTTCTAGAAGCTGAGGCCCCCTCTGCCCAGGGCTGCCAACTGGCCTCTAGGAGAAGAGCCAGGCCCACAAGTCCTCGCTGGCATGCAGAGAACGCATGCTTCCAGGGCGAGTTCCGGCCGAGCTGTGCTCCAGAGAGCAAGGATGAATCAGAGTGTGCAAGCCAGCGGCTGCACAGACAGGGAAGGCAAGAGGATGCTTTCTTGCAAGGCAGGGCTGTAGGGAAGATGGCCCAGCTCGGGAAGCGGGGTGAGTGGGGAACTGCTCTGTAGGCCTGGGGCAGGGCTGTCCCGGGACTGCAGGATGGGAGGCAGACAGGGCTCAGGACAGAGCCTGGACAGCTGTAGCTGTGGGCAGCTGGGAGGGTACCAGGCAGGAGAGACACTGGGGGCCATCATGGGGGTAGATCAAGGAGACCCGCTGGGTGGAGGCCCCAGGAGACCAGTGGCACAGGAGAACCTGAGAATAAGCGCAAGGAGGAGGCACGTGGGCACCTCCAGCCTCCCCAGCACGTGGGCGTGAAGGTTTAGGGGGCAGCAGAATGGTTTGCCCTGGACCAAAAGGGCTGCAGGCCCCCGGGTGGAAGCATCAGGGAAACCTCCCCTCCCCCTTCTGCTCCCCTCAGCTCCTCCCACTCCATCCCCCCTTTTCCACTTGTCCCCCATCTCCTGTACTTTCCCCAGCCCCTCTTGGTCATCCTGGCCTAAGGCCACAGCCGCAGCTCCCTGGGGTTCCAATGCTGCTTGCCCACCTCGGGCTGTGTGATAGGGGCCAGTGCTCTGCTCTCTTGCCTCCATTCCTGGACTCAAGGCGCCAGCTGGTGACTCCCCACCTGCAGTCCTCATCCCTAGAGTGTCCCGACGATCCAGTGGCACAGGCTGAGACAAGCGGTGCCACATGGAAACTTCTCTGGCTCATAGAAGTCCCTGTGCCCTCCCAAGCAAACCCTGCTCTCCTAACTCAACTGTAGGGCAGGGGCTGTGTGTGGGTGTGTGGTGATGAGGCCTCTGCCACTTTTGTCCCCATTAGAGATCTTAACCTTGGGGGTTCCCTTGCACTCTCCTCTGTCCCCCCACCCTGTCCTCCATCTAAATGTAACATGGCATTCTCACTTAGGCCAACCTCTGCCAACACGCCCGCCACCAGCAGCCTCCCAGCACACAGGGCCAATCAGTTACTCCTCCCTCAGGGAAGGACCCAGACTCACTGGGGCCCAGCAGAGGGCCAGGGTCTGCACCTGCACAGGAGCAGGCCTGGCTGACTTGGAACACAGGGGCCAAGAGGTGGTCCTCCTTGGTGGGGCCTGTCTGACAGTACTGAGAGGCTGGATCAGAACCAGAGCAAACCAAGGCTGCCTGGCACCTCAAGTCGTGGGCGTTCTAGAGGTCAGATCTGTCCCAAAGGGCCCAGCAGGGAAGTGGGGGTGTCGTGCCACAGTGCTGTGTGTGCAGGTGAGGGTCCTGGTGGGCCTCCCTGGCCTCCCTACCCCTCGGGGCTGCCCTAAGGTTTCAGAAAAGCAGGTACACTGGGCCTGCAGCCTGCCAAGGAGGCTCCAAGCCCCCACCTCTCCGTGCCCACCTCTTCATCCACATTCGGCCCTCCAATCCACTGTTAGTGTCCCCTAAACTCATGTGTCCAGAGGTGGGGCTTTCAAAAGGTGACTGGCCCAGGGGTGCTGAACCCACCAGCAGCTCATCTATTGATGAGTTCAAAGCTGCATGCGCTGTTAGCAGATGGGGCCTGGCTGAAAGACCTGGGTCGTGGGAGTGGTGAACTCTGATTTCCAGTCGGCCTCCTTCTCTCAGCCTCCTGGCCTCCATGGGCCATGCACCACTGTTCCTCCACAGCCCACAGCTGTGGTGCCTCTGCCTCCAAGCTGGCTGACCACACACTGGATCGCCTGCCAAGCTAAACCTTTCCACTTTTAAGCTGTGGGCATTAGGTGTTTTGTCACAGTGGTGTGAAAGCTGGCTGATACACCAGCGCAGGCACTCCTGGCTGGTGTCACATGCCTCCTTCCTTCAAGAGGAGACTGTGTCTCCTGAGTATTAGGACACCCGCCCAGGGGGGCTGGTGAGATGGCTCAGTGGTCTAAAGCACCTACTTGGAACAAGCTTAGCAAAGCACAGGGACTGCGGTTCGATCCCCCAGCACCACATGCCAGCCAGCCCCGCCCCCTGGTGGGCTGAGCTGGCCACACACACACACGCACACACACAAGCACACACACACACACACACAAATAAATAAATAAATAAATAAAAAATTAAAATAAAATAAAATAAAAGGACACCCGCCCAGGCTCCTCGAGGAAGACAAAGCAGAACACACGGTGTCATATCTGACCCTCCCAGCAACCCACAGGTAGACAACGAGATGGGGGCAGGCGCCACAGGCTCAGGAAGTGTGTGACTTCCCAGAGTAGATCAGCTGGTGACCTCTGATCACCGTTGGACCTGGCAACTGGCAGG